TTTTTTTTTTTTTTTTTTTTTTTTTTTTTGTAGATGGACATAACACAATGCCTTTATTTTTTTATGTGATGCTGAGAATCGAACCGGGGTCCCGCCCATGCTAGGCAAGCGCTCTATTGCTGAGCCACAATCCCAGCCCCAATAAATATTTTTTTTTAAATTAGTTTCTCTGAGCTCCAGATGTCTTATCAAATTGGCACCATCTATCTCACAGGGTGCTAAAAAGATTAAAGTACCCACCAATACCAAGCACCCCATCAAGTTCTTTCTTCTCCTGGTACCAGGCTCCTGTCCTTTCCATTAGGCTATTTATAGAGTTATTAACTCCCTAATAAAATAATAATGGATAGAATGTTCTGGAAATTTCCTTGCTGTTTGATATTACTTCTCTCTGCCACATGCAGACATCTAGCACAATACCTTAAATATTCAGGCCCAAATGGGGTAGCAGTCAAAAACACAAGTTTGAGAGTCAGGCATTTGAGTTAAAATTTAGCCCAACCATTTACTAGTTGTGTGACATCTGTCTGGTTCTCCAAGCTCCCTGTGCCTCAGTTTTCTGATCAGTTAGTTGGGGCTAACACCCCACAGGACCATAGTGAGGATTAACTTCATTTAGATAAAACACCTAACAGAGCCTCAGGTCTATTTCATCAGTCAGTAAATTATAGTCAGCAAATTATTTGGTGTTGTCTTTAACCATCTACACCCTGCCACAACTTATCTTTTAAATCTTTAGAGCAAATAAGCCCTGGGATTTCTGTGGGGTTGTTTTTGTTTGTTTGTGGATTTTTTTATGTTTTGTTGTTGTTGTTGTTTTGTTTTGGTTTGTTTTTTTGTTTTGGTTTGGTTTTGATACTGGGAAGTGAATCCAGGGGTACTTTACCACTGAGCTACATCTTTACCCTTTTTATTTTTTATTTCGAGATAGGGTCTTGTTAAGTTCCTGAGGCTAACTTTGAATTGTGCAAYACCATACCCAGCTCACACTGGAAATTTTTTAAGAGTATGTGGGGCCAGGCATAGTGGGGCACACTTGTAATCCCAGCATCTTGGGAGGCTGAGACAGGAGGATTGAGAGTTCAAAGCAGTTCTGCAAGACCCTGTCTCTAAATAAAATATTAAAAAAGGGCTGGATATGCTCAGTCATTGAGCAGCCCAGGGTTCAATCCCCGATACCAAAAAAAAAAAAGAAAAGAAATAATCCTCCTGCATCCTTTTTTAAAACAAAAATGAACAGAAAATCAGTACTTCTGTCTTTTCATGTATTCCCTTTTAATCCCATGCTGTGAAATCTTAAAAATTGTAAATGCTGCAAGACATTGGTAGATATCTTTTCTCATACTGATGTATAAACGACTTTTATCATTGAGCAGAATTTTAAAGCCTACCCATTAAAAAAAATAATTAAAAAGCATTCCTCCTTATGATAATAAATTTAAAATAGAAATAGTTTTACAAATAACATGGGAAGAACTCATTGTCAGTGAATATAGATCATTCTTTGGTACCTTTTCTTAATATTCCAGTCTACAAATATATCATTATGTATTTAATTGTTCCTATTGATTAATCTCATACTTAATCTATAATAAAAACATTTCTATGAATTTGATTTTAAAGCTTTTTGTTAAATCTTAAAGTGTAAAAATTTCTACATTGATTTTTTTTTACAATTTCAGGCTATATCATTGATCATGTAACAAATGTTACATATTTTGATTAAAATTAACATTTTATGTTTATTTACTGATGAAAATTACTTTCATTAAATTTATGAAATATTTCCCCATGCATTCCTGTATATTTAGATCAGTGCTACTTATTGCGTGAGTGAAAATAGTTTTTTATCATTTCTAACCCTAAACTTTTTTGTTTTACAGTTTGTAAACATTGTGAAACATTGTGAAAGTTCATTAGGCTTTATAATAGTAAATTAAAATAGTAAATTACTTTAATAAGAGTTTGGAAATGGAAACTGTATTTTAATTAACAATGACATCCAATTATTTAATTCCTTCTTAATTATATGACCAAAAATTATATAGGGATATGTCATCAAAAATTATTTGTATTGGTCATCCAGTATCAATGTAATTTTTTTTAATTAACATTATGTCTTGATTCATTCTACTGTCTTTCCCATTCCTATCCCTGCCCCCCATTCCCTGGAAATAGGCTTTCTTAAAACTATCCTTACCTACATGCCCTGTCAAGTAGGCTGAGAACACATGGACACCTGTTTATGTAACACTATAATGAATGTTTGTGTATTTGCCTATTTGTCAGGATAAATCCTCACTTATGATAGATTAGAGTGTGTACATTTTGACAATGATGCCACTACTGTCAATCTATAACTGTTGACAATCCCAGAGAGTTAATGAATAATGTTTCTCAAACACTGACTTCATGGGGATAGTCTTTATGTTTTACCAATCTGAATTTCTGTGATAACCATTGAAATCTTAACATTTTTCACATTTTCATTACATCTTCTTATTTATGGATTTGTATTTTTATATCAGAGTATTCATTTCAATTTTTAGGAGCATCTTTTGCACAGGAGTTCATTCACGCTTTGTCAGATGTGTTACAAGAATCTTCACCATCAACAACTCTTATTTCATCCTCACTTAGATATGTTTGCCATACATGTTTGTTTGTTTTAATAGTTTGATTTAGCCAATATTTAGGTGATTTCAAACCATGTGTAAAAATTTTATAAATGTTATGTTTTTCCCTTAGATTATATAAAAGTTCCATTCATTTTCAATTCCAATAATTTGGGGGGCTTGGGGGTTTTGTTTGTTTTTTCTTTTTTTTGTACCAGGGATTGAATCCAGGGGCAATTAACCACGGAGCCACATCATTAGCCCTATTTATTTTTTTTTTAATTTTGAGACAGGTCTCGCTAAGTTGCTTAGGGCTTTGCTGTGTTGCTGAGGCTGGCTTTGAACTTGCCATCCTCCTGCTTCAGCCTCTCAAGTCATTAGTACTGTTCTTAGAAAAATATTTAAGATTTTGAGAAAAGCATGAAACAGGTTCAAAAAATATAATCTAATAGACAACTGACCTTTTTTTGCAGATCTTCTTTTTAATCTTTGATTCTAAATAAAAGACTATTAAGATAGTAGAAGTACCCTTTAACTGTCATCACCAGGCCCATCTCTCTCAGGTCCCACTCTACCCAAGAAGCATCCATTATTATAAGTTAACTCTTACATGTGTGTACTTGATGAATTTTTACATTTAAATGGCATATTGTAAACTTTAAAATAAGAATATTCCCCACCTATTTTTCATATCTAGTTAAAAATTTTAAGATTTTTATATGCTGCTATATATATTTAGTATTTTGTACAATATTCTACTATATGAATACAAAATATGTTTTTATTGCCTAGGATATGGGCATTTATACCTGGGTCTTATATTTTGGTGTTATAAGCAGTACTGTAATGAACATCCTTGTGGGAGTCTTCCTTGAGCATGTATGAGAGATTCTATAGGTTAGTATACCTACAAGTGAAATCCTTACATCGTAGTATATGTGCATTTTAGTTAGATACTATTAAATTACCATCTTACTGGCTAAACAATTGCAGCTCCCACCAGTAGTGTCTGAGCTATTTCCACACATCACATCCTTACAAATACTTGATTTTGTCAGAATTTTAATTTTTGCGAATTTGACGGACGAAAACTATTTTGGTGGTATTCATGCACGTCTATATTTTCTTGACTTTAGTAATGCTAAGTACTTTTTTTACATATATTTAGCCACTCTTCTCTTTTGTATGTTTTTTTTTCTTTGCCCAGATACCTATTGGTGTTCATCTTTTCTATATTGACTTATAAGTCCTTTAGATATGGTGATATGATATGCTTAGGAAACTCCCACCTACTATTTTTTAAGTATTTGCTACGACTTATACTTTGACTTTTTTATACTTATATTTAATTCTGTAATTCATTTTGGAAATGAATGAAGAAGCAGGGATATGGTTGGAGAAAGGAAACTAACTTCTCCCTCAAAAAAATATATATTTGATACAATACTAGTTATTGAATAATTCATACTTTCCCCTATTGGTTTGAAATTGCAACCTTCATTATGTACAAGTACTCTGTTATGCATCATCCTAAAGAATTTCTCAACTCTCTCTTGTTGCATTGATCTATTTGTTTAGGCTCCAGAACAAACTTTAGTAACTGCACTACTGTATGCTTGAATTAGTAATTCTCTTTCCTGTCCTTCACTTATGAATATAATAAATTTCTTTTTTTCCTTTTATAAGTTATAAATACCATGTCACCACCCAAAACTTAATCTGCAGAGTAATGATGCAAGATATTTATTTCTGGTCCAAGAATTCTTTGCAATCTATTCTAGTTAGTTGCAAATGAGGACTCTAATCTATGTAAAGCAGAGTCTTGAAAAGTTGGGTTTATCTGCCCTCTGCACCAACATGAAAGTAATGAATGGATAAACGTATTAAAATAATCACTCTAGCAGCTTGTCTGCATTTAGAAAGAGTTTACTAAGCATATGTTTAATATGTCATATGTACTTTTTTATATCTAGTCTAATTACTTGATTCAAAACAAGTGATCATTTTGATGAAAAAAATTCTGTAATTAACAATAAGAAGTAATTTTATGATTTTTTTGAAGTGAGACTTGTTTCATTTATGTTGGGTTTTGTTTTTTCCCCTTCTCTAGGTAGCCTTTCCAGTAAATATATGACTCAGGGAAAAGCCTCATCGAAGAGGACCCAGCAGGAATCATGAGGGAAGGAAAATGCAGCACTCTAATGGCCACTCAGGCATCCCTATTCACTTGGAAAATTAGGTTCATTTCACAGGACATAGCAGCATAGATCAGGCTTCAACTTAACATTCAAGGGAAATGTCGGATTTTTTTAATTTAATGATATTAATGAGGAAAAAAAATTTTAATATAGTCTTATCTACCACCAATCCCCATAGATTTAAGGTTTTTAATAGAAAGCCATGATGTATGTATTTAAGCCAGGTTTAAAAAAAAAAAAAAAAAAGTGTAACTAACTGTGGGCCAGTATTCAATGAATACAGCTTCATGGTTTTAATTCTTTGTAAGCACACAAAAAATAGTGTGCTGAAAACCCCAAGTAAATTAACTTCTTTTTTCCCTATAAGTCCCTTTTTGTTTTGAAGAGGGGAAATTATATTTATTGTTGTTTACTGAATCCTTATGTGGAAGCGTATCAAATATGTGTGAACTGCTACTGCTGTACTTAGGATTTACAAACATTATTTTATTGCTCTTTGTAGAAGTGATAACATAAACATGAGTATTTATGTGAGCCTTAGTGGATACGCAAGTGCCACTGAGAGATCTCTGGGTGTTTTCCTCTCTAATTTTAAGTAAATTGACAGAACTACTATGCTATAAAAATGAAGTCAGGAAAACAAGTAGTTCTGTTTGCTTACTAGTAAAAACATTTTCAAGGGAAAAGTGACAAAAGTGCTTTTTACTTTTTATGATATTCAGAAATTAGGGTGGAGAACTTTTAAAAACCTTAAGATCAGTGATGCTGTCTCTGCCAATCATAAGTTTGATTGGCATCATTCTGGATCTGACTGGAGCCCTCACAGAACTGTTTCTCTAACTTCACAAGCCTTTCCAAAGTAGTACATGGTCAGAACTATGCCTCCGTTTATTTATCATTTTGAAATAAAATCAAAATTTCCACCTGTAATTTTATCCACATTATTTTCTGGTGAAAGAGTTCTAAATTTCATTAGGAAAATAAATCAAGGAGTTAGGACCATGTAAATTGCAATCCCTTCTTGTTGGGGGTGTGGGGGACAGTGCTGAGTATAGAAGCTAGGGCCTCACAAGCATTCTACCACTGCGCTATACCCCCAGCCCAAATCTTTAATAGGATGCACACGAAGTTCCCTTTGTTGTGTGCCCTGTGATAATTGATGTTTATCTTAACCCACTATGTGCCAGACCCTAGGTATGAACACAAAAGACACAAATTGAAGGATGCAGAGAATGTTACTGGCAAGCACTACAAATGTGAGAAAACTCAGGCATATACTCCCCACCACTACCACCACCCTCTGTCTTTTTTGGAACTAAAGATCAAACCCAAGGCTTTGTGAATGCAAAACAGACACTTTGCCACCGAGCTACATCCCAGCCCCCTTTTTTTATTTAAAAAAWAATAAATAAAAGTACTTGAAAACATCCTAGCTATGGAAGAATCATCAAAATTAAGAACTTTTAGAGGGCTGGGGTTGTGGCTCAGCGGTAAAGCGCTCACCTCGCAGGTGCAAGACCCTGGGTTGGATCCTCAGCACCACATAAAAATAAAATGAATAAAATAAAGTTATTGTGTCCAACTGCAACTAAAAAATAAATTTAAAAAAAAAAGAACTTTAGAATTTGAAAGTCACAGTTACAAAACAATTACTGATTGTTCCTTACTCAGTTTAAACAGACTCACCAATTACACAACCTGGGATGATCCTGCTCTACACAACTTTCTTCAGCTTTGGCTCTTCTGATTTCTTCTCTTTGCTTAGGGCATTAATGTCAACAGGGCTACAATGTCAGTCACACTTTCTTTGAAAAGCCTATTGATGCTGTTCTGTTGTCTTCTGGCATTATAGCAGAAGAGTTCTGTTAAGACCAGCCTAATTTTTGTTCCCTGGATAGTTTTGTTTTTATACTTTCATGCTTSTATACTGTATACTTTTTACTTATCCTCATAATTAAGAAAGAAAATTACCTCAGTCTAAAAATGTCTCTCCAGTGACTGGAACAAAATTCAATATGTCTCCCTATTCATTTCCTTTTTGAGAAAGTATTTTCTTTAGTTTTTGATAACTTTTATCTTTTCTCAATATCCCATGCTCTGTCATCTTTCCTTTTCATCACGCTAGAAAACTTCTCAAGTTTAATTTTCACATGACTGGCTTGATTTTTAGTGTCACTATGCTGTTTTCTAATATGAATTTTGTCATCATTCTTTCTTAACTTACCCACACCTTCCTTTTCCTCTAGTTTACTGTTATATTTTCTTCCTTGTCATAGAAACCATGCTTTCTTGTATCCTTTTAATAATGTTAAGGTTTCCTACATTTTATTCAGATTTCTATATTAGATACTACCCAATACATTGGAGTTTGTTTGATTTTTGAATCCTCACACTGGATCTGTGGGACAATGAACAGTGTTTACCTGCAAACCTAGAGAATGGATTGCTCCTGGCTCTTCACTTGAATGATGGTCACATCCCTTTTTCAGCACTCCATGCAGAGTGTAATTCTTAAGACATTGCTGGTTTTCAATTACAGCAGGCCTATTGGTCTTAACAAGCAYCACCAGTGCTCCACTACTAATGTTTTTGTTTTGTTTTGTTTGATACTGAGGTATCCAGGATGCTTTTCCATGGAGTGCTATGTTCCCAACCTTTTTTATTTTGAGAAAGGGTCTGCTGAATTGATGAGGGTCTCACTAAATTTCGGAGGCTGGCCTCAAACTTGTGATCCTCCTATGTCAGCCTCCCAAGTGACTGGGATTACAGGTTGCATCACCATGCCTGACTGAAATCCCCCCCCTTTTTTTAATAATAGCAGTGGTCCAGAATCAACATTTTTTTATATCTTGCTCAGTGTGGATAGTATCAGTAAAGTGCAGGTTTAAACATGTTTTTAAAATGTTCTTAGATAATACGTTTATTTTTCCTCTTGAAATGTGCTTCACAGATGGCTTCTAAGGGACAAAAATAAAAAAAAATTTCCCAGGTGGGAAAAAAAATCCTGTACAGATGAGTAGAATTCACAGTGTTACTAGGGGGAAAAGTTGGAAACAATTTTAACAGCTCCCCATAAAACTGTAAAGAAGTGCTTAGAATAGTGTGGGGTTTTTTATCGTTGTTCTTGTTTATGTTTTTGTTTCTTCTTCAAGCCAGGCGTTTTGGGCAGTAATAGTTAAAAAAGTGGCACTTTCACCAGGTGGAACTCTAGACTTGGGTTGGGTTGGCCCTGCCAGTTTTCTAGCTGTGTAGCAAACCTCCTAACCTCAGATAAGTTTCCATCCTATAACAAGGAAATCATACCTGCCCTTACAGAGTCATGAGGATCAAGTGAGGTCTTATTAGGGAAATGTCTAGAACTGTGAAACTAAATGCTGAAGTGCAGAATCGGATGTTTCTTCCCTTCCAAATTTTTAGCATTATTAGTGGAAATCTAAAAGTGTTTACGCCTTGTTTCAACACCACAGGACAGCTGCTGCTCTGAGATAAAGCTCACATATTTCTTAATAGTGAAAACTTTCCTAACATATTCAGGAGACTGCCAGTTTCAAATAACATTAGGTATGCCTGATCCACTGACAAGAAGATTATGTAACTTCATGCTTACAAGCAAAACAGCTACCCAAGTGAAAAACTGAATAGTGTGAATTTCAAAAGGAAAGAAGGGCTTTTAAACATACATGGGATCATAGGGCTGGGATTTGGCTCATTGCACTTGCCTAACATGAACCAGGGTTTGATTCCCATCATCAAAAAACCCACAGGAAGGCTGGGTTTGTGGCTCAGTGGTACAGCACTTGTCTAGTATGTGTGAGGCACTGGGTTTGATTCTCAGCACCACATATAAATAAATGAATAAAATAAAGGTTCAACAACATATATATATAATTTTTTAAAACCCCACAGGATCCTGAATTAGGAAATTAGGACTAGATTTTTTAAATAGCATCTAATGCACTAAGTTGGAGAATTTGAGTTTAAGCACCACTTGTAATAGACAAGCTGGTTCTTTTGCCCCCTCAGTTCAAAGTTGTAAGGCCAGTAGGACACAATGTGCAACAAGGTGCTTTTCAAACCTGTAAAGTGCTACACAGCTTTTCAGTAATTGAAAAAATTATGCATGGCATCTTTTTAATTTTACTTTTAAGAGCAGTTTTAGTTTCATCGCAAAATTGAGCAGAGTACAGAGTTCTATATATCTCTTGTTCCTACACATGCCAACCAACCACTCCCATTATTCTGCACTACAATAGTATATGTGTTAAAATCAATAAACCTGGTTTGACACATCATTATGCAAAGTCTGTAGTTTACATTAGGGTTCACTCTTGATGTTGTACATCATATGGGTTTTGAAAACTAAACAACAYGTCCATTACAGTTTCTACAAAGTAGTTTCACAATACATGGCATCTTCATTATCAATTAACTATGTTTATTGAGTGCTGTTATGTGTCTGCACTCTTCCAAGGGTTTTTTATGTATTAACTTGTTTAATCTTCACAGTATCTGTAGGAGGAAAGGCATCAAAAATAAATACCTTATCTATCCCAAATCACCCAAAGATGAAGCCAAGACAAACCCACTACCCTACTGCCTCTCTTTCTGTTTGTATTAACAACAAAAAGTCCTGTGGATGCAATTCCTCTTCTGAAACAGGAAGACAGACTGCCTGATAATTGTGAGGTATCCTTTCAGACCTTGTATGTTCCAGAGGATCAGAGAAAAAGTGGGCTCTGAAAAACTTCTCGTTCTATTATTAAAACACTGAATAATAATCTACCCCTTCCCCCAGCACCACGCCACAGAATTCCTGTCTGTATCCTAAACCTTCCCTTGTTTACGTGGCTTCCCGTGTATGCCTGGGATACGGTGCCTGGTGTTCAAGAATATTGCTTAATTAAAAGGCAGAATTATGCTCCTGAGCAGCCAGACAAGGTCTCACAACAGGTACTGATAGGTACCCTCTACAAACGTGACTATTCGCCCACTTACTGTGAAGCTGGGTTCCGCATTCAGCACCAGAATAAAAATTGCGTTAGTCACCATCCTTTAGCATCCCCAGCAGTAGAGCATGCTAGAGGTGGGAAAGAGGGGAACTGCATAATAACTCCGCAGCAATTCTGTGCTCTTAATAACTGCCAAGTTGGACAAAAGGGAAGGGGAAAAAAATGGATGTAGATGTCCGATTATCGGAACGGTTCTTCTTTAGAGAACAAAACTCCCGGGGGCGCTCTGAAGCCTCAAGAGCTTGTTACTGATTGTTACAGGAGGCGAGGGCGCCGCACCTCGCCCAGCAACCCTCCTCAGAAGTCAGCGAGGTCGGAGGTCATGGCTTGTCCCCCATCTGCGCTCCACGAGGTCGAGCCGACTCCGTGCTCGGCGGTGACGGCCTACCTCCCATGTCCCTGCACCCACCGGGGTGATTAACAAACACTACAAGCCAAGCCGCACGCAGTCCTAGAAGCTGCATGCAGGGCCACCCGCAGAAATCCGCCCCGCCCCCTGGCCCGTCACTCACACGACTCGCCCAATGGCGGGTACGGGCGGAGCGGGGCGGGGCCCGGGGCGCTGTGCGCCGGAGCTTGTGGCGTCAATGCGCCCGCGGTGTCCATGGAGAGAGGTTGAGGTGGCCGAGCTCCGGCCCGAGGCACCCGGGCGCCGGGACGGCGAAGATGTCGGCCTCGTTAGTCCGGGCCACTGTCCGGGCTGTGAGCAAGAGGAAGCTGCAGCCCACCCGAGCCGCCCTCACCCTGGTGAGTGCACGCGGTGCGTGGCTGGGCCTGTGACATTGCTCACGTCCGCCCCCTGCCAGCGGAGGTCAAGGGAGCCGGTTCGCAGGCCGCGGGCACGTCCGGGCGCTGGGGCCGCTGAGTTGCTGCAGCACCGCCGTTTTCCCGACTGGCCCGGGATTGAGCGGTAAACAAGCCCCAGGCGGGGCTTCTGCGGGGCCCCGGCGTCCGGGGAACTACGCTTCCCGGCAGGCTCTGCCCGGCGGGGTGGGGGCGGGGAGGCTGACGGTGTGTGTCAGCGCGAGCCTAGCGGCGACCCTGCCACACCCCAGTTGCCGGACGTCTCCTTCGCTGAGATCGGACGTACCTAGTGCCAGGTTTGGCAGGACGACACCAGGAGTCCTGCCCAGGAGGTGCGTGGGTAGGGGCGAGCCCCGGAACCCGCCTGTGCGAGAGGCCGAGAGGTGATAAAGCCCCCAACCTCTCCGAGGTCTAGGCTGCGGCGCACAAAGAGTTACTTCCTGGTGTCTGTGGTAGCAGAGGCTTTTTGAAACACCCCGTGAGCCTCCTGCAATCCTAGGGTTTTACAAAGGACAAAGGATGAAGATTTTCACGCTGAGTTCAYAGCGTTTTCTGGGAGAGAGGTCAAACACACAGAAAGGAGACCAGAACGCAAACCACAGATACTTAAAAGAATTCACTGAGTGTACTGTACTCCCTCGGGACTGTGGATTTTTTTAGTTAAAGGGAAACTCGTATTACGTAGAATTAACCTTTCTAAAGGGTACAGTTCAGTGGTAGCACTCACAATGTTGTGCCACCATTTCTTCTATCTAGTTCCAACTCATTTGCACCTTAGTAAGCAACCTTATGATCAGTTCAACTTGTTCTCAAATACTGTTAGTTAACCCACTCTTTGTGCAAGCATTCGCCTAGAGACTGGGAATCAGAAGACCTATTGCCATAAAATTAGTTGAAATAAAAGTCAAGTCGTGATCAGCTGGAAGAATTTATTTTTTTCATCATCAGTKTTTAGGCCCTTGAGGTTACCCCAATTATATTCATACTGTATTCTGTAATACTTTTCTGTATTAGCCAGTGCATTTTCATGTGTGGAAAATGTATCATGGAATCTAGAATTTTCCAAGGTCTTGAGAACTAACTAAAGGGCACAGTTCATACTTTGTGTCTCATTTCAATCTTAATAAAAATTATTCAGACTTCAAAAGAATTCTGATAATAGTAGATCTAAGAAAAGTCGGAAGGTAAGGATGGTTTTCTGTCATTTCTTTTTCCATCACCGTATGGCAAGTTATCTGTACCTTCAGAATTTCTTTCTGTGTCATTCCCTTCCACTCCGTTCTTGTTCAGCAGATATATCAAGATCTACTCTGGTTCAGGACAACAAATAATGAATTTCCACCCTTCATGGACAGTCATAAAGAAAGCTTTTGCCATCTCTAACTAGGAATAATAACACATCTTATAATCTCAGGCTAACTACCTTTCCCCTCTTGCTTGCTGCTTCTTCATTACATGTTATCATAGCAGTTGTCAGGTTTCAGGGTCTTCCATGTTTCCTGGCTCTACTGTAGGAATCTGTTATCTAAATCCTAAGTGTTATGACTGACTTGAGAAGCTTCTTTCCCTATGATTTTCTTAGGAGATGGTGGGAGAGAAAAAGCACATTAGTGCTACTTTCCACCATGATCTGTATTAATGGGCTGTCAGTCAATTTAGTCCTAGTATATGTACCCTTATCTCAAAACACTATGGCCTGTATTGTGTTTGGTTTTAAACCCAGAATTTAATGTCAAGCACAGAAATAGGGAAGTGATCAAAGGCCTAATAAATAAAGACAGAAAAGAGCACCCAAAAGAAGAGATAGTATAATAAAACAAGAAAGAGATAAATTTTCTTGTATATATAAATTTTTACATCAGGAATTTGACATGTTGCAACATTCAAAAAGGAATGTACTTGTGGAGTCTACCTCAGATCAGAAAGGCTAGGAAAAGCAATTGATGACATGAAAAAATTACCAGATTGTCTGCATTAACTTGTGTTGGTTCTGAAGAGAATTGGTGGATTGTTCAAAACAAGTGTTTAGATTGGTGATAAATTGCCTATGTAACTTTTATGCAAACCATGAGTGGTCCCTTGATTGACAAGGAATTGAAAAATGCAATTGAAATCATAGGAGCCAGAGTAACATATGATTACAGAACACAAAGATGAAACAGGCACCTATATTTCTGGCATTTAATAAGTCAAAATGAGTGTAATCCTAATTTAGGATTATAGATGACCCACAYTGTACATAAAGTACAACCAAAGTTCTATAAGATGATAATGGTACAATGACAATATAGTTGTTGAAACATGAAGAGAAGTTATGTACAGAGGTGTCTTGGGGCTTAACTTTCTAGTGGAACCTGGTTGATTGAGAAGGGTTTAGAAATGCTTAATATTTAATAAGCTATAATTCTTTGTATCAGAACCAGAAGTCCTTTGAAACAGTGACCAGGAACTAAGATTTTTACATGAAGGCAATTTAGGAACTATTAAAACATTGGGAGTAGTTCAATAGTAGAATGTGCTTAGCTTTCACAAAGCCCTGGGTTCATCCCCAACATCAAAATAATCACAGAATTGTAAGAATAAAAACATGGTTGGGGCTGGGGTTGTGGATGAGCGGTAGAGTGATCGCCTTGCACATGTGAGGCCCCGGGTTCTAGCCTTAGCACCACATAAAAATAAATAAAATAAAGGTATTATGTCAAACTACAACTGAAAAATAAAAATTTTAAAAAACATGGTATGTATATAATATCCAACACCTAGAAAGTATTCAATAAATGATGGATATCTTTAGTACTGTGTATCAAATAAGAAGAATGATATGTTAAAAATTTTAATGGAAGCTGTTAAAATGTAAACGTACACTACAAATATTTTATAAGTGTATGTGTAATTACATGTGAATAGAAGATAAAAAAAAAAAACACCCTAATGCCAGTCATAGATCCTAAATAGTAGTGTATCAAAATATACTCATTGCTCATTGGTTGCCATTTACCTAACATCTTTTAAACATTAAAATGCCAGATTTTTAATGAAATTAAAATAGGTTATAATTGTTGGTGCATGTTTATAAGTGTCTTTTCCTATAAATATAATAATAAAAATAGCTTGGAAGTAGATCTTTTTTAAATTGGGCCAAAATATCTTAAAGATAATTCTCTCACTTTAAAAAGAACTTGTTCCTAGTTGGGTGCCATGGCACATACCTATAGTCCCAGCAATTTAGGAGAGGATTGTAAATTCAAGGCCAGTCAGGGCAACTTTGCAAGACCCTGTCTCAAAAAATTAAAAAGTTAAAAGAAGAAAAAGGGGTAGGGATGAGGCTTAGTGGTAAAATGTCCCTGGATTCAATCGCCAGTACCACCAAAAAAAAAAAAAAAAAGTTATGAGTAGATTAAAAGCCAACATTATGTTTCAATGGATTTTAATAGTCTCTTAAATTTTAAATTCACAGACTAAATCTGAGATTAATTTTTAAGTCACAATTAATGACAATACAATTAATATCAATTTTGGGGGGGTACTGGGGATTGAACTCAGGCACTCAACCACTGAACCACATTCCCACCCTTTTTTGTATTTTATTTAGAGATAGGGTCTCACTAAGTTGCTTAGCCCCTTGCTAAATTGCTAAGGCTGGCTTTGAACTCATGATCCTCCTGCCTCAGCCCCCCAGTCTGCTGGGATTATAGGGTGTGCCACCGTGCCCTGCTAATTAGTATCCATTTTAAGGGGGAAATAGGGGTCCCCTAGTTGTCCTAGAGAATGCATTGGTAATGTAAGGCTACGTGTCATTTGGTGGAAGATTTTATGCCATTTTCCAGATTGATTTCCCTAAACAAAAAGTTGCCAAACTATGCAAACAGTCCTAGGGCAAAGTAAGATATTTAGCTTCTGCCTTGTACTTGATACACAAAGTCCTTTTTTTGGAGGAGGGAAGGGGGATTGAATTCACAGCCTCAAACATGCTAGGCAAGTATTGTACTACTGAGCTATATCCCCAGCCCTAGAAGGTACTTTTTATAGGGAGAGATTTTTTTTAAATTTTTCTAATTTGTTTTAATTAGTTATACCTGACAGTAGAATGCATTTATGCACTTTGATATATCATGCATAGATGGGATATAATTTCTCATTTTTCTAAGTGTACATGTTGTAGAATCAAATTGGTCATGCAGTCACATATATACATAAGAAAATTATGTATATATGCAGTCGTATATACTTAAAGTAATAATAACAGAACATTATTTCGTTCTACTATCATTCCTATCCCCACATCCCCTCCCCCTTCCTTCCCTTCCCTCTACCTAATCTAAGGTAACTCTATTCTTCTCTAGTGCCCCAACCCCCTTATTGTGAATTAGCATCCACATATTAGAAAAAACATTCGGCCTTTGGTTTTTTAGGATTGGCTTATTTCACTTGGCATGATAGTCTCCAACTTCATCCATTTACTGGCAAATGCCATAATTTCATTCATTCTTCTTTAAAGCTAAGTAGTCCATTGGAGATATATATATTCACATACACACACACACACACACACACACATATATATATATATATATATATATATATAAAATATATCTCACATTTTCTTTCCATTCATCTATTGAAGGACACCTAGGTTGGTTCCATAGTTTAGCTATTGTGAATTGAGCTGCTATAAACACTGACATGGCTGCATTACTGCTGATTTTAAGTCCTTTGAATATAAACCAAGGAATAGGATAGCTGGGTCACACAGTGGTTCCATTCCAAGTTTTCTGAGGAAATAGAGATTTTTTTTTTWWTWAARGRMYTKKTYMWT